ATACATCCACATCCCACACTGAGTCCGTGCTGCAGGTAGGCGTCACAACACCAAGGTAAACAAGAGCTGACCACTCCACTTTTCACACTTTCGTGCCCAAAAACAAGAAGAGGGTGATACACCAAAATCAGAGGAGACAGCAATCGCACTGAACACAATGTAGCTACGTACGAATACCTTCCCGCCTACGTACGGTTGAAACAACTTACTAATATCAAAACATAGACAATAACACATGACCTGCTGGGAAATACGTACGCAATTTCGCCAACATTTGCAACAATTAGCAAGTAATGCGGGTCATAATGATAGAGGCGAAGAGGCTTCAAATCAACCAACGCCAACCCAAACGATGGGAAGAGAGGCGCAGACGAAAGCAGCAAGCCCGTGGTGCAGCCCGTGTTCACCACAGGGATATCCACACTACTCGACACAAACGCCATAGGGACTTGATAAATTATTCCACGAACATCAGTCATGAGCGAATAGTCAGCGTGCCATCATTCTGCCCGCCAACATCACTTCACCTACTTGAGACACCCAGCACGAATAGAAACGTCAGTAACCGCATACTGTGAAAGCACAACCCAATACTCACTGACGTAAAACACACACACATAGACCCACAAAGAGTAAGTCATAAACCATTCTAAAATCACAATACCTTAGCGGTCGACACTTACTACCAAACCTTAAGGCAACAATTCTGCACAAAACCCCTCCTGACAATTTAACCCAATACCCACAAAGACGTCCAACACAGGTGACATCCTAAACGCCTTACCGCAGGCATATAAAGCACCGAGGGGCGACAACATTGCCATCTCTCTAAGAGGCAACAGCCCTATTAAAATCACAAACACCTAAGGTGGGCAGAAATGAGCAGGCATCACAAAATACAAGTCTTTCGCGGGTGACACGCATACCCCGTATCCGATGGGCGGCACCTCATTCCACAACTCAGAGACAAACCTCACACTAAGAGAAGCACGACTATACAAGTCCCTACCGGACAACACTGGTGCCACCAAAATTTAAAACATTACAACGACGTGAAACAGGGAAAACCTACATTATTACGGCATTCCTTAGCCGAGCTGACAGCTCTGAAACACATCACAACAAGAAATCAACAAATATCCTTGCAAATACCATCCGCCCACGCATTATGTACCTACCGTCATCTCGCAAATCGGCATCTAAGCTCACAACCCACAGAACTGACAACAATATTCCACAACTATAAACGACCCAGCAGATGACAATCAATTCTTCAACCTAACATCGAAAACCAGACACAGAGAGGAATCAAAATGCAACTACTCCATAAGTATAAATCATCCACAAAGAACACCCGTACAGCCACTCTGAAGGCTAATTTCCCAAACCAAAACTGTGAGAACGACGTTTCGGGGACGGAATCCTGACAACTTCATCGTCAGTAAGTTTTCTCTTCTTTAATAGCCCTTGCGCTATTCCAATTATCCATGTCCCATCACAATCGCTGGCTCTCTTCACTGAAAACTCGCCAATTCATCAGAGCAGTACTGCATTACGCTGTCCCAATATGTCTTGTCACCAGCCGATAGATCGACAAACGATTCCCTACGATGTCGGAGATCTTAATGCAGTTAACAGCCTCCTCCTAGCTCTTCATCACTGTCAGATCCCTCTGTCTCTTCTTTTTCTTCAACTATACAAAGTAGACGTGATTAACACTGTATTTGAACACTTGTCAACACCAGCAAGAATTCACTTTACTGTTCATATCACTAGAGCCATCCGAGGGTTACACTTGTGCACTACTTATACAAACGCAAAGAAGGAAATCACATCGGTAAGGATTGACTATTCACCAATCGAACTTCCATTCTTCACGTCCTCCCTAAAATCATGGATGCAAAAACTAAGGAAAGCGGATAAGCAAGTATGAACAAGGATTAAGGCAGGTCTCGATGTAATGTCACTATTAAGGAATTTGAAGGATCAAAATCAAGATGAAGTCTTATCGGTAATGGCTACTAATGTCTACTAAATCCAAAATAAAAGCACTACAACGCCAACGTGTAGAACACATAACCGCCAACGTGAGTAAGCAGACTAAAGAAAATTCCTTGGGCTGTGTTGGCCCTCACTTTAGGATTTGTACGGCCCTTGTACTCGTGGGCTAGCCCTCGAGCCATTTTCAGACCCATTTGCTTCCTTCTCTTCGGAATACGTGTATCCAGCCACACTTACGGCCATCTTTCTCCCTATGGGAGGTTTCGAGACGCTACAGTAATTGTGCGCAAACGAATGTGTTTGTATGTTATAAATACACCTTTATGTTTTGCAGCATAGTATGAAGAACTTATTGAAAATGATGTTAATCTGCGTGGATACCTCCATTTCCTTAACTAATTTTATACACTATTCGCAGAAGCCGAGACTTTCAACCGAGTTGAAGAAGATAGCAAGTGAAGCTGGATACATGTATTCCGAATAGGATGAAACAACTGGGCCTGAGCATGGCCCGAAGTCCAGCCCACGTGTACAAGGACCAGATAAATCTTATTTTGACCGTCAAACCTCAGCATGCATGTAGGTTTTCTGTATATGCCATATGTGAGTGGAATTTGGTTCATTTTAATAGATATGCGGCACGGTGGGAATGGATGAGTTTATGAAAGTCTCCTCGAACCGCATACATGCGTATTATTACCTAATGCCTTCCTCTGCTACAAAATAATCGACATGGTACGCTGCAGTGGTGAAGACCGTAAGTGATCTCAGCCGTTATAAGACCGTAATACATGCTCTCGCTGTCAGTAATTGAAATCGGCGTTGCGAATGAAGCGCGTGCCTAGGGGGATACTGCTTAACCATGGCACGTTGACAGAAAGGCAGTGAATTTCTGCCAGTTCCATTGCAATCCACCCCGTGTCCACTGCCTCTATCAATGCCCAACCAATCATGCTTACATTTCAACATGAACGAAGATGCCAGTTAGGACACTTGGATGTTCTCCAAGTGGAACAGTCTATTGCATTCCTATGTTGTGTTTCAGAGTACTTCATGAAGTATTTAAAACTACGTTGGATGGTGTACTGTTTCCTTAACTTTGTATTTTGGACGGTAGTGAGGTTCATTCTGTTAAATAGACTTTACATGCCGCCAAACACTTGGCTTCTCTGCTCCGCCTTGCCATTGGTGTTACTGCGGTTTTGCTGAAGGGGTTTGGGCAGCCTTAAATGGACGAAGGCTAAGCACTAGGCGGATAAGAATGGAGGCACGAATAAAGAGCAGAAGTAAATGCAAGCTGTTTGTTTCTAACTGTAGATTGTACACGTAGGCACTCGATTGTTTGGTCATTGGCTTGAGACCGCGAAGTCCGGAGTTGACTGGCTAGAGAACACTTGGTGATGTTGACTGTAAGATTTGCAGATTGAGGTGGATGCTTCTTGCTGTCATGTGACGGGTAAGCGATGCGCATGCCTTTGCTTCGAGGTGCATTGCAAGCGCATGCCTTCCTTCGCACTGGATCTTATTAGTGAGTTTGAGAAATAGCATCATCCCCTCCACTACTACCCTTCAACCCCATAGGGCGTTGCTTTCTGCCTATGAGGTAAATGTGAGCAAGTAGTTGCATGTCGGAACAGTTGTAGTGAAGGCAGTACCATTAAAGTGTGCATGATTTCGTGTGCAAATAGAAGATCATGTCATCTTTGCACGTAGTGGCATCAAAATGGTGAGGACTAGCGTGTGCGCATCAGGCTACATCGTTTGTTTGGCAGAGCGGGTGGAGCAGGATGGATTGCTTAGGAGGAATTCTTCTTTCCATGTGCGGTGTGCACGTGTTAGCATGCAGAAGGTTCAATCCTTATTTCACGTGAACTGGTGCAAAAAATAGACGCGTAGCGTACCTTGTGTGTCCCATCACTAAGGAAAGCAGTGAATTTTGACGATCGACCTGAGACTGGTTGATTGGCTGGCGTGATGGGTAGCTCTCCCCTTCTTCATATGAATGCGTGTGTGATGTTGATCAATTTATCGCATTTGAAGGCAAAATCGATTCCTCATAGAAGCTCACAAGTGGCAAGCTATTAAGCATTTCTCAAGTGTTCTCCTTTTCTTATTAGGTGGCTGATAGTCGAACTGTTCAAGGCTACAATTTCAGTACTGGTTAGAGATGAATTTACTACCCAAATGGCTAAAGTAAAGAAGCATTTCTATCGATGTCGTATGTTTATTGTTTTCGTCACGCCACATGTAAGTCAAACTCTCTTCTTCTGCCACGCTTAGATTGCAGTTGTTCTTACCATCATCCTTAATTGCTGCAAGGCAGCTCAGTCCACTATCGCTTTGTGAAGCATGCCATCCCTTCGTAAGGATTTACAATGCAACGCCAAATGACACCTTTATTTGCCTCCACTGTAGCAACAAGGAGAAGCGACCGTGGCACAAAACAGCATTGACGCAACTCACTCCAATTCATGCTAATTCATTTGTGAATTGGCGATGCTGTACAAAGAGTGCGACCCGCATGGCCTCCCTCACCACACGCAAGTGATCTGCATTTTTACACAATCGCTATTTTAGAAGTCCTCTACCTTTAAGTTTACTCATTTTACCTCTTGTAATGGTCAGTACGTATAAATAAACGCAGATGACAAGTGTTAGCTGTTAAAGTGAATGCCATCACCACGGAACACTCACTCATATTTTTCAGTAAGTACGTGCAAAAAAAAACACTCCCTCACATGATGGTGGGAAACCTTGGCCCAATACTTTGGTGGTTGAGGCTTACTACGGCCACTGCGAAGGGAGTAAATCGGGCACAAATCAGGAAAAAGGGAAATGAGACTTTTGCATTTCCTTTATATTTTCTACCGCACAAATTCCCCATGTCAGTACATACAATTGTCGGGTGAACATTTGATTATGGCAGTGTGTAGAGGAGAGAAATACAGTGGTCCGCCAATGTCTGCACAGGAGGGTGGCATTGAGACAGATGCACTGACTTAAGCGACAGTTTGCACAAGGGTTACCGCCATGCAGAGAACGAGAAGACTGAGGACTGCGGAATGTAGGGCAGACCCGCTGTTTCCTTCTTCTCCTGTAGGGGAGTGAGAAACACTTTCCTCAGCTGCAATACATGGGGGTGTGATGAAGGCCAAGAACTCCCTCTGCACTATTCACAGTCCCAACATCAATGCATCTCATCAATATACCTCCACATTTGTGCAGACGAGTGCAGTGAATGCGATACTGCGAAGAAAACTTACCCTTACGCCATGCAGTAAGGTAAATCAGGTTGTAAAATGTGGTTTCATTCTTTTCAATGGCCTCCGTCATCACTTCGTATGTGTCGGGTGGCAAATCATCAAGCATCAGTTCTCCTACTGCCGCATTTGCCATTGTAAGCCTTGGAGAGCCAGAAGAAGCATGCGGTGTTGCGACCACCTTGATTACTTCCACGTTGCAAGCATCAACAAACCACGATACGTTCCATTTTAACGAAAAAGAGTTATAGTTCTGTCGAATCCACCTAAATTGTGGCAAAGGCGGCGTCTCGCAAGAAGATTGCGCTTGAAGGATAAAATTTGATGTTATTATTGCCTTAAGCAGGCAAAATTTGGTAAATTATTCCCATTCTAGGCAAATGCATACAAGTTTTGCTACTAATAACATATTCTGGTTTACCTTTCAGCGTTTTGATATTTCCATTGTAATAAAAAATTTCGCTTTGATCTTGCATTGGTTCGATCAGTGCAAAGTGGACTTTGTCAGCGAGCATTCCCATAAAGGTGCATTCCCCAAGCTTGAAGTCAACAATTTGGTAGTTACCAGTGACTGGAGGTGGCAATAAGGTAAGCCTTAGTCTGTTGGCTCTGAGTTCAGTCAAGCGCCCGACATCCCAAGCCAGTTGAATGGTATGAGAACTCACATAACTCCAGTAAAAGTGTGACGGAAGGGGTTTTGACTTCACGTTCCTACCTCCAATGCAATGGAAGATGGTTGACTTACCTCATAGATTGAAAATCATCTTATTATTGTTACTAACTTTATTCAGGTAGCAATGTATAACATCAAAGGCTAAATATCTGTCTTTCTAATGTCCCTTAATCCTATTACAAGCAGCAATTTTTTATGCAGCCTCAACTTATTCCATCCTATATAGCTGGGGCTATTGATTTTGCAACCGTCACCACTGCCTACCTACGACGGAATTGTTTTAAATTTGCACAACAATTTGCACCGCGGTAAGTGCAGCTTATCGATTGGACCGAAGTGGTGACTAAGTAGGGAGGAAGTAAAGAGCAAACAACTATTGTAATTGTAATGGATAAATGAATGATCTGTTCAGACCGGCCATTTCTTTTCCATACCAAGGTGTCTCTTTTTGTGAACATTGTGAAAATGATATCAAAATAATGCCGAATGCAAGTCGCAAGTAAAATATTGCATCCCTGTTGTGTAGAAAATGGAGAAACTGAACTGGCATTAAAAGTGAGTAGGACTGACTGATCACAGGTACAGAAAACTATTCTTCTTCCTACTTATCAAGGCAAATGGGATGCGGTATGTGGAACAAGAATTCTTACTCTCTGCTCCTCGGATCCTCGCAGGTAACACGATAAGGACCAGAAAAAGTAGATAGAAGTGAGGCGACATCTCTAACTCCGGTTCACGTAGCACCACTAATTACGTCGCATTTATAGAAATTCGTCTTTCACAAATCAGTCTCTGGTTAGCTGCATTTTTGAGACCAATGGGGCGCCTTTGCTTCTGCCACGCATCATGCGAATTGACAAATTGGGCTGACTGACTTCTGTTAAATTTTGCCTGCAAAGTTGGTTTCAATAACGTGCAAAAAGAGGCATCAAAAGTTGGCTGAATCGTTGAAATGCACACCAACAACGAGAAGACACCAATATTGCTTAAGGCAAGAGGCTGGTCCCAGCAATGCTTCAGACTTGCTCCTATAACGTGTGAATGAGAACTGCCAAGAAGATATCGTGTGATGGGTAAAAGAAGGCAGCTACCAACTTTCCACTTCATTTATAAGAGGATGTCCCAATTGCTGATGCCGACCCTTCCAGAAGTGAAGTTTGGACAAATGACGGAAAAGTCGACCGTCCTCACATTTCCTGCCCACCGGGTCTGTCATTTGAGCAGGCTAGCTAAAATGATATCATCACTTTGACGGTGGACTCAGTACATCGGCCATCGTCGTGGTACCCAACGGTGCTATTTTGGCTTATAACTGTGCATGTTTGTTTGTCTATTGTTTCCTCACTAGTGCTGCAGTGCACATTATTGTGGGCGCATTTCAGTTGTCCATGTTTGAGAAGGTGAGCAAATAAGCTCTCTTCCGCGTCCACTCACTCAATTTTTTTAAAAACTGCATTAAGCGCTTGGCATATCTAATGTCAAAAATGCATCAAACGTGGTTTCTTGGTGGTGATGGTAGGTGTGGCAATGTCGCAATGGTTTTGCCTGCCCCAATATAATCATCAAAACATTTTGTATGTAACAACTTTTGAGCTATCAAAAGGCCACCATCCTCCATTCCTTCGCCTTACCGCAATGCTACATCTTTGTTGCCGCACTATTGCACAGTCACCCGCATCAAATAAACGCTATGGATGCCTTTTTGGCATTACAACCAGACATTTGTTATCGTGTTACCATGGTGTGAACTACTTTCACCAGCTGATTAATCCATAAGGTCAAAGTGTTGTGTGTTTGAACGTGTTGATCGCTGGGAAGCTCTTTAGGTAATGGACAGTGCTACTAATCTTACCGTCCTAGTTCCATTAGGGCGATGTTGAAATGGGATGGCATGTGGAAAGTCACGGGAATGGCGAGCAATGATGCGAGCAGATTGTGATGCAGGGGAAAATGTCAAAGGAATCAAAGGAAAAAAGAGAGAGGAAAAGGGTAGGGAAAGAATTTCCAAATTATTGTTTTGTAGAATTGGACTTCTGGTGAGAGAGCAAATAAGTGCTCCCTAATTCTTTGAGCTTATATTGAAGAAGGCGGTCAGAATCGGTATCACTCATAGATACATCAAAACCTTGTTGCTCTCTCATCCAAATCTGATTTGCTAATCGTTGTTAAACCAATGTCAGTTGATCCATTGTGAAGCCATGTTTCATGATGTCCGTTGGAAAACGTAAAGCTGCATTGAACACGATCACGGCCATGAAGGATAGTGCAAAATAATAAATATGCAATACCTTTCCAAGGAAACAGCTCCAGAAAATTCGATAGGATTGTTCTACCTGGAGTTGCTAACTCCGGTGTCAGGATACTCCTTTGTAAATCGTCGTAAATTATCAACTTTCGGCATTTCAACTTGTTGAAGGACTATGACACCAGAAATGCAGAATTATTGCTCCAAACACGTGGCGTAGAGCGGAACTTATGCCAGCAGCCACCGAAGTGTTCCAAAAGTCGTTAGTAATTGTGCACTAATTGCACAATTTAATATCTTAAGAGGCTTGGCTTTGCTAAAAGGAGCGGCACTTTTCGCCTCTATCCAACCTAAGCAATTCATATAAACTAACGGCAAAATCATTGCTCATAGTTTCTACAGCAGAGTAGAAAATCACAAATGAAAATAGTGGCTCATCTTACACCTAAATGTTTATAACGGACTGAGTGAGCGACATGGCGACAGTGCAGCAGCGCATTATGTCGGAATCGCCTTGCTAACCAGTCGTCAAAGCGTCTGTCTACACCTTTTGAAAAAATCCTCAATGTGGTTGGCGTAATCGTAGCAAACTCATTACCAATAACCACTAATAATAGAGTAGAAGTTGAGAGCCCCAACTCTTTCACTGAGTCGTGGAGAACAAACCTACAGTACGTAACATATACCACACATGAGACAAACTTTATAGGCTCAAGGGCGTTCGTTATTAGAACCGCCAAATCCTTGGAATCGGGTAACGCGTGACCTGCCTACCTCGTCCGTACGCGGCAGCCGACTGCAAAAACGAAAATGGGACTAGTTCAGACGAAAGCTCATCTACAAGCATCGAAAGGCATCAAAGAGGCCTAAACCTATTTTTCGGTGCTCGGCAAACGCCACTAGATGATCCAATATTTAAGTGTTAAAGTAAAAAAAGGGACGATTGAACAGTTGATTGCAACTGAGAAGCGAAAGTTACAGCTTGAAGGATTTCCAAGACTATACTGGGGGCAGTTTCTCAATTAGCAGCGTTTGTCGGGACACACCCACCTCGATGATGTGAGATTGCGCACCTTTGAAGATGCAAAACATTCTCAACACAATCTCCATGTGATTCGCATTGAGCATCTGCAACAGTGATTGAGGCAACATTTAAAATAAGTGGCAATTCTATTGCAAAATATACACTAAAACTCAAGTAAAGAAAAATGGATGTAGGGCTCAAAGACTGCTCTTTTGGCAATATAAGATGTAAAACTTGACTAGTCAGGCGAAAACGAAGAGGGCGGACATTGGCATACTGATGATCAGCCCACCAAGCTGCAACAGGATACAGACAGCAGAACAAAGCATTACAGCAGACATTTAACATCCCATTTCTGTGCTCATCGCTTCTGATAGTGTCTGCATCAGGTCAGTCATAGACACGACGCCAAAGGGAATCACTTGACAACTTATTAACAAAACAAACTGGAACGGCTTTGTCCACCAGCCTATTTCCAGAGCTGCACATCCAAATGCTGCCGCAGAGGCTTGAGACTTTCCACCGGGTAGAAACACGTTAAGTGGGCTGAATACGTGTGATCAAGTAGGAAAAGGGAGAGATTGGGCTGCGGCCAGCTCACACCTAAAAGGGCGAGATAAATTTCGAAGTAACGATCAATTTTACGGGTGATTACATCATCGTGCCATTTATCTTGCTCCAATTTACGCATGCTAGCACTTGATCCAATCAAAAAGCACTTCTTAATGTCTTCCACTGAGTGAAACGTTTCGAGGGTTGCATAAATGTGCCTAACTTTTAGCCAGTGGTGGTACAGAGAGGAAAGTTCACATTTTTCTTCCAAGCAGTACCTCAATCAATAAATCCCGTGCATGCAATAAAAAAATCGACAACCACATCAAATCGAGAGTTTAATTTGGGATCTACCCGGCTTCGCTTTGCACATTCTTGGAGGAGGGTAGATTAATATTGTTTTGTTTTAAGCTTAAAACTCAGTTCAGGGTCACAAGCTATCACTTATATTTCCAATGTGTCCAGCATACTGGCCAATCTAATAACACAAATTGATGGCGTCCCCACAAATACAAGGCAGTGAGATCGTCACATTGTATTCAGAACGAATGTGTGCCTGTCATTGACACGCGTTGTGACTGATCAACTGCTGTCCCCAGTTCCTTCACGACCCTTCCTCCTCCTGGAAATGGACAACCGCGT